CAAAGCAGCCGCGCTGGCCGAAACAGCCGCACTGGTGACCTGTGGAGCTCCTCCGCCCGGGAATTTCCTAGTCTGTGGGCAATAAAAACGTGGCGTCCACTCACTCTCTGCGCTTTCACTGGGAGCTGCAATCCTGAGCTGTTCCTAAACGGCCATCTTGGATCCGATCTCTCAAATTTAAACATTTAAATAAATTTATTTATTTAAAAGTCAGATATGTGCTGGGCGCGGTGGCTCATGCCTGTAATCCCAGCACTTTGGGAGGCCGAGGCAGGCAGATTGCAAGGTCAGGCGATTGAGACCAACCTAGCCAACATGGTGAAACCCCGTCTCTACCAAAAATGCAAAAATTAGCTGGTTGTGGTGGTGCATGCCTGTAATCCCAGCTGTTCGGGAGGCTGAGGCAGGAGAATCACTTGAACATGGAGGTGGTGGAGATTGCAGTGAGCCGAGATAGCACCACTGCACTCCAACCTGGTGACAGAGTGAGACGCTGTCTCAGAAAAAAAAAAAAAAAAAAAAAAAAAAAAAAAAAAAATTTCGTGCTACTTAACGGAGCATGAAGTACCTCCATATTACCATACAACATTGGTTCTCAGATACCTTGTAGTTTAGATACACTACACATTGGATATCCCTTACCTAAAATGCATGGGACTAGAAGACTTTCAGGGTTTGAGTTTGGGAATATTTGCATTATACTGATGCTTACTGGTTGAGCCTTCCTAATCCGAAAATCCAAAATGTTCCAGTGAGCATTTCCTTTGAGTGTCATGTCAGTGCTCAAAAAGTTCAGGAGTTTGGAGCACTTTGGATTTTGAATTTTCAGATTTTGGGATGGTCAACCTGTATTATTAGATCATCCTGAGTGCTTTGATGTACCCTAAATGTGAAACATTATTCATATTAGTCTTTGTGGCTTAATCCATGGTCAGAGAGGAAAAATAAGATAAGGCAAGTTAAAGATGAGAGACCATAGAACCATACTTGATTTCTTAGATTTGCACTGTTCAGTATGGTAGCCACCAGCCATTTGTGGCTATTAAGCACTTGCAATGTGGCTAGCCCAAATTGAGTTGGGATATGAATGTGAAATATACATTAGATGTCAAAGAGTTAGTATGAAAAAAATATAGCTCATTAATAGTTTTTTATATGGATTATATGTTTGAAATGACAATAATGAAAAAAGAAGTAACAACTTATTAACAATTTTAGGCTTGAAAATATGACTTATTATTTTCCTGTCGAACAGCACTGTCTTAGATAAATCCACTTTCTTCTTTTCTTATAATCAAATGTTTAACTATTGTTATTAATCCTTGGTGGAAAAGCAAAAAACAAATTTGGTGTGTGAATATTTATGGGGTGCTAAAAGCTTAATAAAATTTGTTGTGAATGGATTTTACAATAAATATCATTAAATTTCCTGTTATTTTAAAGTTATATATAATGAAAGGCATTAAAGTTCGGGGATAAAGTTAACTAGATACCAGACATTGTAGCTCGTTAGTCTTGCTGTCTAGAAGTAGACCTTTGCTTTTGCTTTGTATGGATATCTAAGTGCATTATGGGGTTGTTTTTCATAAGAGCATCATAGCTTATGACTAGATTGTATTATCTGATAGAGCCAGTGTCATGCTTGGTGATGCTTTTTTTTTTTTTTCCCCTTTTCCTAGTTTTAGACTTTCTAAAGCAATGTAGCTTCACTTGGAAACTTGTTAGAAATACTAATTTTGAACCCCAACCCTGTTGAATTAGAAACTAGGGGCTGGACCTGGCAATCTTGATTTAGCCCTCCAGATGATTCTGATGTGCATGAAGTTTGAAAAACATAGTTGTAGAGGTTCCATTCTATAATGGTGAGCACACTGGACTCTGAATCCAGAGAAACATAGATGTAGATCATACCAGTTTAATAGCATAACAAAATGCAACCTTCTTGTAACCTTTATAACTTATCTATTTGAAAGGAATTACATTCTTTTCTTTTTAATTCATCACTTGTAAAAGTCTTACATTCTTATTCTTAGGTGGATGCTCTCCGATTGCGTTTGGAAGAGAAGGAAACCATGTTGAATAAAAAGACAAAACAAATTCAGGATATGGCCGAGGAGAAGGGGACACAAGCTGGAGAGATACATGACCTCAAGGACATGTTGGATGTGAAGGAGCGGAAGGTTAATGTTCTTCAGAAGAAGGTAAGGTGTAGATGTTTTGAGTTCAGTGGCCCTCTCATACATCCTCCCTCCTACCACTAAGTCAGATTTAATGCTGTCAGAGTTTCTTGCTCATTCCTCAGTTTATGTTTTTGTGATTAGTAATTTGGAACTGTTGTTGCGGTAGGTAGATTGTTAGGACTGCTCTACATAATCAGTTTTTGAAAATTTAAACACTGTTAATATCTTCCAATAGTGCTATTCATGCTGTTTCTCACAAGTGCCTTGTAAATTGCCAAAGTATTTGAACTGACATTGTTTTGCTTCTTCTGTCTTTTATTGAAACTGTACTGAATTGGTTTAGTACATGGGCTTGGGATGGTACAACTTCATTTATGTGTTTAATAAGATGACAATTTCAAGCGGAGACCAGTGGCATCTAGACAAACACATAATTCATAAAAAGTGTGTGTTTGTGTATTTCAATACAAATCTTACTGTTCCTTACTCCTTGTTCTTTCCCCTTTTTTCAGAAAAGTTAATATATTTTGATACTCTTTCCAAGGGTTTCTTCATTGTTGTTAATAATAGCATTGTATGGGTATACTGTATTTAGCAAAATTTTTACATATAAACATTTATTTTGCTAAAAATTTCTTCCTTTACATAAAATGATTCTACAGTAAAAAATGTCATACATATTTAGTTTATACATGTCAAGTATATTTCTTTATTTATATTTAGTTTATACAAGTCAGATACATTTCTAGGATAAATTCCTTGAAGTTGAACTGCTGAGTGAAAGGATATGCATTTATAATTTTGCTAAGTAGCCTTAAAGAGATTGTACCAAGTTTCATTTCTACTATCAGTGATGAAAGTGTTATATTCCCGACATACTTGTCTACAGAGTGTGTTAAAAGACTTGTACTTTTTGGCAGTTTTATAGGTGAGAAAACAATGTCAGTGTAGTTGCAGTTCTTTCATTATTAGTAAGGTTGAACATATTTCTATATTTAAAATCCTTCTATTTTCTGTTATTTGTTCATATGCTTGATCCATTTTTAAGTTCTTTTCTGCTTTTTTAAAAGTTGTTTTATAGAAATCCCTTCCCAATTTAAAAATTAGCTCTTTTGTCTAATGTGAGTTCTAAACATTTCTTCCTGTTTGGCTTATTTATTTATTTATTTATTTATTGAGATGGAGTTTTGTATTGTTGCCCAGACTGGAGAGCAGTGGCGCGATCTTGGCCCAGTGCAACCTCTGCCTCCTGGGTTCAAGTGATTCCTCTGCTTCAGCCTCCCTCGTAGCTGGGACTACAGGTGCCCATCACCACGTCTGGTTAATTTTTTGTATTTTTGGTAGAGGTGGGGTTTCACCACCGTGTTGGCCAGGCTGGTCTTGAATCCTGTGGCCTCAAGTGATCCACCTGCCTCAGCCTTCCAAAGTGCTGGAATTATAGGTGTGAGACACCATGCCCGGCTCTCTCTCTCTCTTTTTTTTAAATATTATCCAGCCCATGCCATCTAAGCCTTCCAACAGCACTGCTCCTAGCTCTGTTTGGCTTTTGACGAGAGAGAGAGAGACAGAGAGAGAGAGAGAGTGTATGTGTGTTTTCAGGCTTTTTAAATAAGGTGAATATTTAGGGCTTCTGGATTTTGTGACATACTGCAAAAGTTTTATTTTAGAATGTTTCTTTTCTGGTGATATTGATCTATCTATGCATCCAGTAACATTGTTTTCATTTTTGTGTTTTTGTGCTATATGTTAATAATAGCTGATTCTTTCCAAGGGACTTTTCTTTGTCAGAAGTACCCTTGCTTTTTTTTTTTTTTTTTTCTTGACTATCTTTCCATTTGAAATTTAGAGTTAGTTTTTATCATTTCCTGCCTTTAATTCTTGTGTTGTGTTTTTTATTGTGATTACATAAAATTTATAGTTACTAATTTATAGAAAAATGACAATAGGGTATATCTTTTCATGAATTCATTTTTTGTTTCTCAAAAATGTTTTAAGGTTTCTTTCATATAGATTTTATGCATTTATTAAGTTTATTCCTAGGTTTTCTGTTTGTTATAAAGTGTTAACATTTTTCATTACATCTTCTAACTGCTTTCTTTTTTGTACACATGAAGGCTTGTGATTTGTACTTAGTTATACTGAATTCTCTTAAAGGTTTGGATTTTTTTTTAGTTGATTCCTTTGGCTTTTCCAAATATGTAGTGATATCATTTCTAAACAGTGATTATTTTCCTATGTTCGGTTTTAATGTATATACCCCATTTTCTTCTCTTTTCTATTTATGTGTACCAGTGCATCCGAAACCACACTACATGATAGTGGACATGTTCGCATTATACCTATTATACCTGATCTGAATGAGAACGCTTTTAGTTCTTTCCCAGTAAAGTACACTGCTTGCTTTTGTGTTAGAATTGATAAATACAGTAAGAAAGTACCTGTTGAAATAAAATGAGTAAATTTTTAAAAATTATTTTTTGGTTCAATATTTTTTGGAGAACAGGTGGTGTTCATTTGGTTACATGAATACCCTCTTTAGTGGTGATTTCTGAGATTTTGGTGTACCTATCACCTGAACAGTGGACACCGACCCAGTCTGTAGTCTTTTATCCCTGATCTCCTCCCACCCTTCCCTTTGACTCTCCAAAGTTCATTGTATCTTTCTTATGCCTTTTGTCCTGATAGCTTAGCTCCCACTTATAAGTGAGAACATACAATGTTTGGTTTTCCATTCCTGAGTTACTTCACTTAGAATAATGGCAGTCTCCACCTCCAACCAGGTTGTTGCAAATGCCATTATTTCATTCCTTTTTATGGCTGAGTAGAATTTTGTAGTGTATATATACCACATTTCTTTATCTACTTGTTGATTGATAGGCAATTGGGCTGGTTCCATATTTTTTACAATTGTAAATTGTGTGTGTGTGTGTGTGTGTTGTTTTTTTTTTTTTTTTTTTTNTTTTCTTTTTTGAGAAAGAGTCTAGCTCTGTCACCCAGGCTGGAGTACAGTGACATTATCTTGGCTCACTGCAACCTCCATCTCCCAGGTTCAAGCAATTTTCCTGCCTCAGCCTCCCGAGTAGCTGGGATTACAGGTGTCCGCCATTCAGGCCCAGCTAATTTTTGTATTTTTAGTAGAGATGGGGTTTCATCATGTTGGCCTGGCTGGTCTCGAACTCCTGACCTCATAATCCACCCGCCACAGCCTCCCAGAGTGCTGGGATTACAAATGTGAGCCACTGCACCCGGCCCGAATTGTGCTATTATAAACATGTCTGTGCAAGTGTCTTTTTCATATAACGCTTTCTTTTCCTCTGTACCAGTAGAGGGATTGCTGGATCAAATGGTAGGTCTACTTTTAGTACTTTAAGGAATCTTCATACTGTTTTCCATAGTGGTTGTACTAGCTTACATTCCCACCAGCAGTGTAAAAATGTTCCCTTTTTTTTTTTTAAAACCACATCCATGCCAATATCTATTATTTTTTGGTTTTAAAATTATGGTCATTCTTGCAGGAGTACGTTGGTATCGCATTGTGGTTTTGATTTGCATTTCCCTGATAATTAGTGATGTTGAGCTTTTTTATATGTTTGTTAGCCATTTGCATATCTTCTTTTGAGAATTACCTATTCATGTCCTTAGTCCACTTTTTGATGGGATTATTTGTTTTTTTTCTAGATGACTTGAGTTCCTTGTAGATTCTGGACATTAGTCCTTTGTTGGATGCACAGTTTGAGAATATTTTCTCCCACTCTGTAGGTTGTCTGTTTACTCTTCTGATTATTTCTTTTAGTGTGCAGAAACTTTTTAGTTTAACTCCCATCTATTTATGTTTTTATTGCATTTGCTTTTGGGTTCTTGGTTATGAAGTTTTTGCCTAAGCTGATGTCTGGAAGAGTTTTTCCAGTGTTATGTTCTAGAATTTTTATGGTTTCAGGTCTTAGATTTAAGTCTTTGATCCGTCTTGAGTTGATTTTTTATAAGGTGAGAGATGAAGATCTAGTTTCATTTTTTACATATGGCTTGCCAATTATCTCAGCGCTGTTTGTTGAATAGGGTGTACTTTACCTGCTTTATGTTTTTGTTTGCTTTGTCAAAGTTCAGTTGGCTGTAAGTATTTGGCTGCTTTTCTGGGTTCTCTATTCTGTTCCATTGGTTTATGTGCCTATTTTTATACCAGTACCATGATTGGTTTTGGTGACTATAGCCTTGTAGTATAGTTTGATGTTGGATAATGTGATGCTTCCAGATTTTTACTTATTGCTTAGTCTTGTTGCTTTGGCTATGCAGGCTCTTTTTTGGTTCCATATGAATTTTAGGATTTTTTTCTAGTTCTGTGAAGAATGATGATGGTATTTTGATGGCAATTGCATTGAGTGTGTAGATTGTTTTTTGGCAGTGTGGTCATTTTCACAATATTGATTCTACCCATCTTTGAGCATGGGATATGTTTCCATTTGTTTGTGTCATATGTGATTTATTTCAGCAGTGATTTGTAGTTTTCCTTGTAGAGGTCTTTCATGTCCTTGTTGAGCTATATTCCTCAGTATTTTACTGTTTTTTACAGTTACTGTAAAAGGGGTTGAGTTCTTGATTTGATTCTCAGCTTGGTCTCTATTGATGTATAGTAGTGCTGCTGATTTGTGTACATTGATTTTGTATCCTGAAACTTTACTGAACTCATTTATTAGATCTAGGAGCTTTTGGATGAGTCTTTAGGGCTTTCTAGGTATATGATCTTATTATCAGCGAACAATGATAGTTTGACTTCCTCTTTACTGATTTGGATGTCCTTGATTTTTTTTACTCTTGTTTGTTGCTCTGGACAGGACTTCTAGTACTGTGTTGAATAGAACTCATGAAAGTGGGCATCCTTGTCTTGTTCCAGCTCTCAGGGGAAAATGCTTTCAACTTCCCCCCCCCCATTCAGCATGTTGGCAGTGGCTTTGTGATAGATGGCTTTTATTATCTTGAATTTAGATAACATGATGACTATGTGCCAGTTTTACTGAGGGTTTTAA